ATATCTTAAAAGCTACTTGTGGTGAAACACATCTTTAATCCTAGCACTTGGAAGGCAGAGGCAGGAGGATCTCTTTGAGTCCAAGGCCAGCCTGGTCTACTCAAGTTCTAGGACAGCAAGGGCTACATAGGAAGACCATGTCTTGAAAATCACAAACCTTTAAAAAATATGTCAAATTGGATGCTTCACATATAGAACTGCTGGTATTTACAGAAAGTTGCCCAGAGAATGTTCCAGAAGCTCATGTGATCCTATCACTGTTTTAATAGCTACAGTTAAGGTAACCAACACTTAGGTAATCCTGATTAGAAAAGGTCTCAATAATTTTTCCCCCTCTCTTTGACAGGGTTTCACTATGTAGCTCTTGCTGTCCTGGAACTCACTATGCAGGCCAAGCTGGCCTCAAACTCACAGAGATCCCATTGCCTCTGCCTTCCAAGTGCTGGGATTGCAAGTGTGAACCACAATTCTCAAATTTAATTTCTAGTATGGCAAATATTAAAAGTCGTAATTCACGATGCTGCTTGGAAATGTCTATATTTTGAGTATCAAGGGATATGGAGTTAAAAATATTGATAACCAGGGGCTGGAGATAGGGCTCAGTGATTAAGGGCACCTGTTACTGTCGCAGAGGACCTGGGCTCAGTTCCCAGAATCCACTTGGTAGTTTAAATCCACCAGTTCCAAGGGATCCAATGCCTTCTTCTGACCTCTGTGAGTACCACTCACACACACACACACACACACACACAGGGAGCCAATGGTGCTATATGCAAATATTGCTGCAAATACTCATTCTCTTTCCTGGATGAGCACTCACAATTCCAACACAGAGTAAAAGCTGTAAGGATATTCAAAGTTTAGAGCATCTGTTCCCCTCCACTTCTCCATCAAATGTCTTGCTCACCCTAAACTAGTTAGTGGAAAAAGAATTACACAGAAATGGGAGGTAATGATACCCATACACTTCAGACTTACATTCTCTACCACACTAAAAACATTTTCATTAAAAAGTCATTCTAAATTTTATTGTATTATGTGCATGAGTATTTTGCCTACATGTATGTAAATGCAGGCCGGGTGCAGGGTGTTGGATGCCCTGGAACTGGAGTTATAGATGGTTGTGAGCCACCATGTGAGTACTGGAAACTGAACACAGGTCCTCTTACAAGAGCAAAAAGTACTCCTAACCCTGAGCCAACTCTTCATCCCCCTGGCGTTTTAAAATCTAAGTGTACTAGATAGACATCATGAGATTATGAATAAGACTTTGGTGCTGCTCCTGAACATTGCGTTTATTGAGGAGGGACTATAAAAAGGGAAATACAAAATTAATACAGGTGTGAGGTCCCACTCGAACTCTTAAAAATAATTCTATGGGGCGGAGAACTGGCTGAGGCTAAGAGCACTTATCACTCCTGAAAAGGACTAGAGTTCAGTTCCCAGAGCTCACACTGGGCAGCTGACAGTCACCTGTCACTCTAGTTCTGGCAGAGGAGATACCTCTTCTAGCCTCCACAGGTGCACACACACCCACAAATAAAAATAAATCTTTAAGGAATTGTGACTCAATTGTGTTACTTTCAGCAATCCACACTTCTCCGCCTCCCTTGTCACAGAGAGGGCCTGCCTGATCGCTGATCTACACTCTTGGGTAACACCGGGATATAGCAGGTGTGTCTACCCCATACTTGAGCAGATCTGAAGTTCTTAAGAGACGCGGAGTAGACTGCTTGGATGGAAGGGTTCCCAGCAGTAGGGGCAGCCATGTTGGCAAGGGATTTTAAGCTGAATACAACTTCCAGTGAAAGGAGTGTATGTGTGTGTGTGTGGGGGGGGGTTGAACCTGAAGAGGTAAACTGAGGCTGGATAGTGTAGGAAGCCTGGCGCCATGGCTTCAAGGATTGATCTGACAGGGGTGAGGGAACTAAAAACAGCCAAACACACAGACACACAGGGAAACTGGGCTCTCTGATGGAGAAACCTCCGCGGAATCTGTGTCTCTACTGTACACAGTTGACCAGGGACACAAGGTTTTCACATACAGAGAAGGAAGGGTTATTATATACACCTGAAAAAGGAGGCAGGTTTTACTAGTCTTGGTAGGCGTAGAAGTCTCGGTAGGGAGCGTATCAGTCTTCAGACCACGATCACGGAGGCAGGTGTTTTCTGCACTCACCACACTCCTCCCACTCAGACCCTAGGAAGGCTTTGCCATTCCAGTGAGACTGAGGTACTGGTCCTGGAAACGGCCATGACCATGTCAGCACACACATTCACTCAGCACTTCACTGGCTTACAACATTTTGGCTTCAGTATTAAAGACAAATTATAGAGAATTCAAACAGGGAGACACATTGGGAGGCTGGAGGACTGAAAAATCATGTAATAAAAAAACCCCAAACATTCAAACAGGTTTTATTATCTTTTTACTTAGAAGCAATTTTATTTAACATATCGATCCCAGTTCTCTCTCCCACCCATCCTCCCATGCCCCCCACTGACCCCCCAACCCACCTCCCATTCACTCCCCAAGGATGAGGCCTTCCATGGAGGAATTGTCAAAGTCTGTTGTAGTGAGATATTCACTTTGTCTGCATCTGTGGCACTGACCCATTGGGGGTGGAGCCAGGGGCGGAAGTGACCTGGGGAACTAGGTCTGAGGAGGAGCCTGGGAGCTCTCTCTTGCTGGTGGGATGCGGAGAGGAGAGCATCCGGTGGAATCTGCTGGTGTTCATCTGTCTAGGTTGTAAGTTATTTCTCCATGAATAAACGTCTATTCGGCCTATTTGTTTATCCTGATCCTTATTAAACCACGGTATCTGGTATCAGAAGTGGGATCAGGATTTTCACAGGACCTGAGTTTCACCCACCGTCCCTGAACAGGGGGTTGCTTTGCCTAGGCAGGCGGACACACTGCAGCTTCTGAGACGTTTGTGCCTGCCCTACAGCTCCTTTATCTCCACCGGGGCCCTGAGACCACTGCTCACCTCCTGCCCATTCCCTCACATTGCATTTGCACAGAGCCCTGTGACACACACCCCACCCTGCATGTGTGTCCCCAGCCTGAGGATGCCATTTGCAGGCGGCACCTGTTAGCCCTGCGGTCCCAACAATTGGCACAAGGCTCGTTTCACTCCTTCATTTAACAAAATTTCAGGGTTGGGTTAGGGTCATTAACCAATAAGAGAAACATATTTACGGAATGACATCTCCCATCAGTCTGTCACATCATTTGCGGGAGGGCCTAGGCCCTCCCCTGTGTATCTGGGTTGAAATACTGTCCCTTTATGGGGAATGGGCTCCCAAAGTCCATCAAATAGGTTTTTTAAAGTTATTTATTTATTTATTTATTTATTTATTTATAAGTCTTTTTAAATTTCATAGTATCCATTCCTCCTGAGGACTTTTTTCCACACCAATCAGATGTGCTCTGTTTGCAACGCGAAATTTGAGTGTTCTACAACTTGTAACCTGATTGTTTCTGCTATAATAATTGACACCAAATTGTAGCTTCTAATTGACTTGGTTCTAAGTCACTTCTCTAAGTTACCCACAGATTCTGTGAGTTTCTATGTCTTCGAGTAATTATCTTGTTTATTGGGCAGAGTAACAAGATTCTTGTGTACACACATACAAGGGATGTCAGACCAGAATCTGGCACTCCTCCTACAGGACACATTACACCAGAAGGCACTCAGCAGAGATGAGGGACTGTGGAAATATTTAACAAGAGAATTCTTGGTTTTAGAGCTTGTTACATATTAAGGCTACTGTGCCCATAGTCAGGACCCCCAAAGACCACCAAGAGACCAGAGCTGATGTAAAAGGAAAGTCTTTTTTTTTTTTTTTTTAATTATTCCAGCATGCTGGGGCTGACCATCATACTAAAAGGCAAGATGGCTACAACCTGAGGAGGAGGTGGGCCCTCTTTTTGGTCTAATGGAGGGGAGCGTCTAAGGAAGTTGGGTCATATTAGATATGATTGGCTTAAGCAAGTGGCAATCATATTAGTACACTATAATTGGCTGGGGCTAGTCAGGGGTAGAGTTTTCCATTTTGGGGCAGTCCCAGACAAGCCCGGGCCCCGACCCCGACCGGCTGTAGCTGTAGCGGCTGGCTGAGGACTGGCCTGACCTAGTGCTGCGTGCACCAGGCCTCCTCCTTGCTCTTGGGGGTGTTCGGAGACTGATTGTCCTTTATTCGTGGCTTTTCCTCAGAAACTTCTTGTTCAGTCTCAGGACACTGAGACTGAGGCCTGATCCCGGAGAGAAGACTGAGTGAGCAGCCTGCTATGGCGTCTGCTAGGTCCTTTCAAGGTGAGTACTACATATTAAGAAGGGACTCATTATATGATAATAGAAGTCGTCATCCTGCCCCCACCTCCCAAAAAACCCAGCTCTGTCCAGGTTTGGACCCAACTGGTGTTTCCAGTCATTGAGTTGAAAGGACCAGACACGTACTGACCGAGGCATGGGTCAGTCATCCGTGGATTATCTGAGGTCCCTACTGGAGGAAGCAGGTCACTGGGTGTGTGCCTGAGGGTGTAACTTGTTCCCAGCCTCTCCCTGCCTCTCTCGATGCTTTCTGGCTACAGTGAGTCTGTGGCTCTGCCCTAGTAACGTCACAGCCACAGCCTGCAGCCACCGTGCTCTGTGTCACCATGGAGTGGGCCTACAAGTACTGAAGCCTTAAAGCAAAAGAAATCTTCCTCCTTCATGTGTGCCTGCCACAGCTGTAAAGGCCTGATTAACACGGCGGTGGAAAATACGGTGAGCTGGCTGCTCACTCCACCTTGTCACACTCTTCACACTTGGGTTAATCACTAATCTCTCAGCGATTCCCTTCACAGGGCTAATAATAGTGCTTGCCTCAACTGTTTTAAACATTAAAAGGTGTTAAATACTAAGAGTAACTCACACAAGTAATGGCTCAATCAATACTAACTTGTATCTATAAAACAAGTTACTGAGACATGGATGGATGAGAAATCAAAATCAACAATGCAAACGAGGTATTTTATTCAACTAATTATCAGACAATGAAGTATAACTTAACAGGCATTTATAACTTAAATATTATATCAAGAACTTAAGTGAAATCAAATTCTTCAACTGTGTTATCAGAGTTCAATATCAGAAAAAAAGGATAAGTACAAAATCACCAAAATATTTCATTCACGGGATCTTCTCTGCTGTAAACACTTGAGAAGCTTGTTTCCTGGCCTGGAAAAAGAATTGAGAAGAAATTAAGTTAGGAATTACAATCTAGAAGTTATATATGCTGTTTTTTTTTAATTAGCTACATTTATCTGTTTTATCTGTGCACACGTGTGTGCATGCGTGTGTGCATGCATGGAGCTCAGAGCACAGCTGTGAAGTCAGTTGTCTTTATAACAGGTGGACTCTGAGGTTACAGTTTGTCAAACTTGGCAGCAAGTACCTCTTACTGGCAAGCCATCTTATAAACCCTGTATCTTATCATTTTAATGCAGGAAATAAACCTGGATTTTTTTTTCAAGATAACAATGAAAAACCCTAGTGAAAAATTATGACCTAAAACTTAAAAAATAACAGCAATACATATTTTAAAAGTCCAGCCATAAAGAAATTTCTAGATAAAGACAAAACAGAATGAAACGAAATGGACTGTGTCAAATGTAAAATGCTGCGACATATAGACAGGAGGGAATGCAAAGACGGCCAGGGACCAAAGAGAAAGAGACAGAGCTAAGCAAGGGACCTTTGAGAAGCTCAGCTAGCTCATCAGTCCCCTACCCACAGCTCCTAAAAATCCCACTACTCAGGAGGCAGACGCAGGTGGATCTCTGTCAGTTCAAGGCCCGCCTGGTCTAAAGAGTGAGTTCCAGGACAGCCAGGGTGGCAGAGCAATACACTGTCTCAAAAGCAAAAACAACAACAGCAAACCCTTATTTATTGTGAGTTAGTATCCCAGCTGTCTTACCCCTGACTGGAGAGCTACTGATATTTGGTTTTGGGGTGAGGGAGGATTGGTTTTCTGTAAGGGTACAGTTCCTGACAGGCTGACCATGCTCTAGTGGCTGGTCTCTTATCTAGGAATATATGAGCAGCACAAATTCTGTGGGTTATGAAAAAGAATAAAGAAAAGAAAAAACAAAAAAAGGAAAGAAAATAAAAGCACATACTGGGCACTGGTGGTGGGAGTTGGAAGAGTTAGGGGGAAGAGAGGGAGGAAACATGATCAAAATAATTCACTCACATGCACACACACATGTATATGTAAATTCTCACACAGTTAGTAAAATGTCAAAAGAAAAAAGGAAACTTTTATTGTCTGTGCGGTTTCCAAATCTGGGTTACAAACTAAAGCACATTAAACAAACTAGGTTAAATCAAATTCAGAGTACTGGGATAACATAATAAAAAAAACTAAGAATGTAGAATGTAGTGAGGTAAATTAACAACCATTATCAAGATGCGAAAAGGCACAATATTAAATACAGCAATCCAGCACTCAGGAGACTGAGCTAAGACAATAGTTCACAGTTAACCTAGGCTGCACAGTGGGTTCAAGACCAGCTGGACCACATGAGACCTTGCCTCAAAAGTTGAAAAGAAAAAAAAAATTAAGAAATGAAAATAGTGTGCTAGAAACATGGCTCCATGGTTGAGACCGCTGTTCTTATAAATGATGAGAGCTCAGCTCCCAGCACCCTTACTGAGCAGCTCACGGCCCCTACAACTCCAGCTACAGTGGCTCTAATGACATAGTCCAATGCAGTCTTCTGATATGCCACTCACACAAACATTGTCATAACAATGAGGCCAGTGGGTGGCTCAGTGGGCAATGGTACTTCCTGCCAAACCTAATGAACTGAGTGTAAGCCCAGGACTCACGTGGTAAAACGAGAGAGGCACAACTTCTGAATGCTGTCTTCTAACCTACACACACACACACACACACACACACACAATGGTGCATACTTTTAATCTCAGCGCATGGGAAGCAAAGGCAGGCTGATCTGTGTGATTTTTGAGGCCAGTCTGGTCTATATAATGAGTCAGGTCAGAAAGAGATGCGCTGTAAGATCTGCCTCAAATGATTTTTTTTCATTTGAAAAAAAAAGTCAGAACTCAGAGTGGGCTGGTAGGGCCGGGTGGAAAGCAGAAAAGGGTGAAGGCGATGAGAATATCAGAATGCACTGCATATATGTAGGAAATATTAAAAGTAATTTAATAAAACTTACTTAAAAGTACCAGAACTAGGGCTGGAAAGGTGGCTGGATCCCTTCTAGAGGCTCCACAGGGCCAAGTGCCAGATGAAGTGCAGGCCTGACTTTACCTCTCATTGTAAGCGTCCTCATTCATAACATGGGAACAGTAACCATTGCCTTACAGTGATGCCATGCGCGCTGCCATACACGAAGTGCTCAGAACAGTTATAATTCTAAAAGGAACAGCTAAGGTCTAACAAACCCCCAACCCCAAACAGCAACGGTGACCCACCTTCCAAAACTGCAAACAGAGAAGCTAGTTAACATGTTGTTCACCTGGAGCCTGTGACAACACCTGATAGCCCTACACTCTCAAAAGTTACTATGCACTGAGAAGCAAGCACCAGAACCCTTAACAAGAACGGAAACGAACCCTAGCTTTACCTGCACAAACTAGCAGTAGGATGTTTAAAAAGACTGCAATTGGGGATTAAGGACATTGTAAAGAAATCTTTTAAAGTATAGTTAAACTGAGTAACCTAGTAAGCAATCCTTGTCTTTCTAAGAAGCTGAGATTGGCCAGCTCCTGTTTCAAACATTCCCCCTTTCCCTTTGATCCTGTTCTTTCTCACGTCCCTCTTAAATATTCTATCTCATCTTTAGAGGGAAACAAATGGGAGACACTTGATGGAAGAGGTCACTCTTTAAATATGGTTCTCTTATTGGCTAATGAATAAAGCAAGATAGGTGGGACTAGGAGAGGTGGAGGATTCTGGGAAATGTAGGAGTCCTGATGTGATCTCAGGAGGAGAGGACATGAGTCAGGCATTCTTAGTAAGATAAGACCATGTAGAAATACATATGTTAGTAATTATGGATTAATATCTAAGACATAGCTAGCCATTAAGAAGCCCTAGCCATTGGCCAACAGCTTTATAAGTAATAGTGTCTCTGTGTGTTATTTTGGGGCCGACACAGCTCTGGGACCAGGCTGGTGGGAAAATGCTTGTAACAGATACTCAATAAGTGCTCTTTTTAATTTCCTCATAAAATTTCCAGACCTAAGACTGGAAACATGCTCAACAGTTATGAGGACATCGTGCTCTTGCAGGGGGCCCAAACGAATTCCCCCAGAACCCAGCCCAGCAGGCCACAACCACCTGTAACTCCAGCTCCATGGGATCTAATGTCTTCTTCTGGCTTGCATGAATGCGACACTCCATGAACAATCCCAGGCATACACACACACACCAATGCATTTAAAAATAAAACCTTATGCATGTTCTAGGCTTGGTGTGCTGTGATGTGGCTGAAGCTTACAACCTCAGTGGAGGGGTTCTAATGCCTAGGAATTCTTCAATAATTTGGAATCCATCACTAACTATAAAGGATAAAGCAAGAGTTACTCTAGAACTGAGTATAACCAGAAGGTCAAAGACAAAAACACAGCTTCAGCATCACAATTTAATTAACAGTGAGACCACCTGAGTTAGGTTATAGATTGTTTTTATAACCACATTATTGTTATTGATCACTTACCTGACATCAACAACTAAAATTATAAAATTAAATTTTTTTATGAAGTTAAGCAACTGAAAGATATTTAGGTGTCATATAAATTCAAAAGTGGCCATTCTAGAAATTCAGTGATATCAAAGTCAATAGAATGGGTTGTGAGGAGATAAAAAGAAAGAATGCTGATTTTAACTAAAAAATTTAAACTACTTCACCCAATACTGAGACACTTACAAGTTTCTCATCTGGTGAAAGAACGCCCTCTACTGCTACTATCTGGTATTGTTTATGTTTTAGATTTCCCACAGATTTCCGTAGCTGCCTGAGACTACCAGCCTCTATGTCCTGCTTTAACAGCTTCTGCATTTCTCGGGAAGGACATCCAGGATCAAATATTAGTAAACATAATGTTCGGTTTTTTCTTTCTTCAATTCCGACAATTGTTCGACTGTGACCTAGTCAAAGTATAAATAACAGTTAATACGTCACATCTATACACAGTTATTACTATATATACATGTATAGCCTCTGTATGAGCTTCTGTTTAGTGCACGCGTGCGTGCACACACACACACACACACACACACACACACACACACAGGCGCACACACTTGCCCTTTTAAGTAAGCGCAGTCTAGAAAGGCTTAACGAAGGGACAAGCAAAGACTGGAAAAAGGCAATGGATGAATGTTGAGAGCAGGTGAACCAGAAAGAGACCACAAAAAGGCAAAGGTTCCAAGGCGCCGTGTCACTCAAGAACATACCAGAGTGACAATTAGCTCTGACAGTCAGTCACAACAGCCCCCACCCATCCCCTCTACTATTACAATCTTGACCTGTCCTTCAGCAATAGCCAATCTGCTATCTTAAAATCGTCAGTTATGCGTGTGATCTACTAACCCTGATGCTGGAGATAGACAGGAGGTTTAGATGTACACACAACCTTTGAATTCCCTTCCCTCTCTGAAGAATAATAGTTCAATATCCATTCAAATAAGCGAGGGTGTGTACCCGAAGGCCCAGTTGACTTATGGAAATCAATAATGCGGCACCTAAACAATTGACAAAGGATAATTTAGAGACAATTTTTTTTCAGAAATGGAGTTACCCTAACCAAAAAATAAAAATCTTATTCCAGAACAAATTTATATATCCATTATTTATTTCTCTATGGAGGAATAAGTGAATGTAAATTTTTACCCTTTATATAGAAAAAAAAAAAAACATCATTTCATCTGGAAAATACTCAAATCACCACTCACAGTAAGGCCGAAGAATGACCTAAAGGCTACAAAGACTTCCTAATATAAAGTCTCCCTGCACAGCAAATAAGGGCCATGCAGGACTTTTAAAGCCCATGTGCTACAGTCTGGGACATACTCCCTTTTATTCCAATGCCTCTATCCCTGCTGGCCAACTAGAACTGAAGGCTCAATGGGTAAAAGTGTTTGCTATGCAAGCCTGGCGACCTGAGTTCAATCCCTGGGACCCACATCAAGGTAGAAGGAGAGTAACTCCAATTATTTATCTTATGACCTCCTGCCACACCAACACATGCATAGTACAAAATTAGGGGCTTAGCTCAGACCCACAATTGGTCACAATTGGCTGTTAACTCCAGCTCTAGGGGATCCAAAGGCGCTCACACTCATGTGCACATATACACAAACATGCATGTATATATATAACAAAGACAATAAAATAATAAGTTTTAGGGTTTTATTTTTTAAAGAAAACTAACTTCTTGAAGGTTTTTTCTACTCAGATAATTTATAACAATGTAAACTCAGAAATAGATTTTAAAAAATCAATCAGTAGCGTTTGTATATCTTTATTAAAAGAAAAAAGAATCTGAATTCTGACTTTAATCCTCACTAGTAGTCATCTCTTTACATCAAAAGCATTCTAAAAATGAATAAATAAGTATAAAAATATTCTGAATACATTCAATTCTCCTCAATTCCAGTTTCAGACAATACTGTTGAAGGGCACAGAAAAATGTGTGAGACTTCACATCTCTACATCATATATCTCCTGTTTGGCTCCAGAGTATGGTGGTATACTTTCTTTAAATGGAGTCAGCTTGAATAAATGAGACTGTTGAAGTAGGCTCACTTCTATATACACTAAAAATTTTATAAAGTATAACCAAAAGCATTTCGTAGCTTGGTTATTTTAAAGTCCAGCATAAACAATGCATTCTAGTCTCTCATGGCAGTGAAATCTCAAAAATATTCAAAACGGTTAACAGTTTGTGCCACAGTTTAGATATGAAATGCCCCTTGGAGGCTCCCGTAGACTTAGTCCTCTGCTAAGCTGGCAGTGCTATTTGGGAAAGTTGTAGAAACACTAGGAGCGGGAAGTGGAAGGAGCTGAGCCCTGAAGGCGAGCCCTGAACCCTTACACCTGAAGATGAGCACTAACCTTTAGAGCAGGCTCCCAGTTTCTTCCTATGGATGCTTTGCTTCCTGACTGCTGACGCAATGTGACAGCCACTACACCTTCCCCGATTCCCTACCACAAAGAACTGTATCCTTTGAAGCGTAAGCCAAAATAAACCCTTCCTCACTGGTGCTGCTTCGCCGGCAAATTTTATCACGGCATGGGGAAATAGCTAAGACAGTTAACTTTAGTCACACTGAATTTTAGGCCAGTAATTTGCAAATGAGTACAATGATATTAAGTAGAGTTTGCAGGTACATACTTTACTCTCAGTGAAGTCAGAAGCGTATAAATCTCACAGGCTCCAATCCAGGCCTTTGTTCCCTGTAACCTGTTATTAAGTTGACAGGCTCCCTGAGGATCAAAACCTTCCTTCCATGCATCTTCAATCATGGACTGAATTTTTGGAATACAAGGAATTGACATACCTGGAATTATGTAAGCAAACAAGTCACAAGCCTGGTACTAATACACTGAGCAGTAATAATACATGGTTACATATCCTCTACTAAGAACCCACAAGAGTTTCTAAGACACTTATTGGTGATAACCCTCTGTATATCATAATCAAAGATGATAATAGTATTTTACCTACCTTTCAAGCAGTCACCATACACATCATTTTGCAGTAATGATGAAAGTAGCATCTGGAAATTTCTGTAACCACAACCCCAACCTTTGTCCCCATAAGAAGAATGAAAGTGATCAACCATTGCAGAGAGCCACACACACCTCACATCTGTGGCAGTGTTCTGGTAATATCTATGGAGGGCTTCAATAATTCCTAAAATAGAAGAGATTTAGGATAGTTGGGAAGATTGATTGTCACCATTACATGGCTGTTTATGACTAGCATCAGCCTCACGTTCCACAGAAACAGCCTACCAGCTCACATTTACAACTTAGCTCGTGTCCTCACTGTGGCCCCAACCCAAGTTTTCGAACACTACAATAGTACGCCCTGCATTGAACTGGAGTTGTCTGCATCTTTAAGCTCTTCAACTGCAAAGCCTGGGGACACAAAGGCACCCTTACAGAACGAATTCTCTTCCTGTCTTTCCCTCTGCTCCATGCACCACTGGAGCTTGCTCAGCCCATCTGCTCCCACCTAAGTAAGTCTGTATCTCCTGACGGCCTGTAGTTCGTACTTACCCACAGCATGTAAAGCTCAAGCCACAGTTTTCATTCTTCTTGTTTGTGACCCAACAATAAAATATTCTGCCTATGGGTTTTTAATTTAACTTCAATACTGTACTTTGTGTACATAACAGAAGATGAAGCACTAAGCAAAGAAAGATAAATATGACGATATCCCTAGAAGTATGGCTTTAGGTTATGATGCTAGAATTTGGTTATAAGCAAAGTATTCAGACACATTTACATCTGCTTCTTCCTTTTAGAATATTCTTCTTCCATTTAGGATCCTAAAAATCTTGTATTGTTCAAACATCAAGTTACCTTTTTCCTGTCTCTTAGAAACAACCAGAGCAGTTACTTCTTTCACGACCCTACTTATCCAGTCACACTTTCTCACAGCAGAGCATTACAGTTCTTTGTGTCTATTTTGCCTTCTTTAAAAACTCTTGAAGCTAACGGGCAGTGACGTCTTTTGTGTAGTTCATGCTTTCTCACGGTATGTGGTATGAAAAAAAAAGTCATTATATGTATTTTATTTGAATGAAATACATGGAAACATGTCTTTGGGGAGACAAATGAAAAAAAAAAACCAATAAATCAAAACAGTCACTTAAACAACAGCTGTAGATATGCCTTCTACCACTAAGAACAGAAATTAGTTATAAATGAATAAAAACAAGACCCACATTCGAGAAAAAGAACAACGAAAATAACTTGTGGCTGAGTATTAAGTTCACACATGGGGAGAAATGACGATGTGGCACCCAACATTCTTACGTGGGATGGGGCAGGCACTCTAGCAACAGAAAGATAAATGTCCACTCAGATGAGAGGAAGATTTAAGACAATCAAGAATGAAAAGGGGAAACCTGTAAGAATAAACTAATATATATTTGAGTATACTATGGCATGCTTGTCACATGTAAGACAGAAATACCTCATTTCCTGGTAACATATATTCTAGCAATGACATCATACAACCAAACCACATTAAAGAAAATTTTTTCTTATAACACAGATTTTTTTTTTAATTCCTAAATTTCCTTAGATATTTTCCCTAAAAAGCTACCTTTTGCTAAACTATGCTAAAAATAACAAGGCTGTAAATATGTAAATGGGTATTAAATCATGATTGCTCTAATAGATACTCGTATACCTAGCAACAGAAAACAAAAATATTTGCCATGGGGCTGGAGAGGTGGTTCAGCAGAAAAGAACACTTGCTACTCTTGTAAGACACGAGTTCAGTTCCTATGGGTTTTTAATTAACTTCAGTACTGTACGTTGTGTCCATAACAGAAGAGGGGTTGGAGGACAAAGAGGATAATGGGGTGGCAGTAGTGAATGTGACCAAAATATATTACATATCTGTATGAAAATGTCATAATGAAGCAATATTATATACAATTAACAAATGCCAACAGAAGTGTAAAAAACCCTAAAGACTCATTTCCATTGTTATTAGTTAATACAATAGAACTAAATTATTTTGCGTGAATTATTTACTATAAAAATAGAAGTTTCATTTTAAAATTTTTGCAAAGAATATGTGAACATACACTCTCACCTCAAACTAAAAGCTTATCAAATTCATGTGTTTCTATTACTCCAGGGGTATATGCAGTATTAAAACCACAGCTTGGAAGTGTAAGCACTCACCAGAAGTTTTTGTTTTTCCATCATCAATACCGATAGCTATTGATTCCATCATGTCAGCTTTTCTGCTATGAAATTCGGATGGGAGCACCCTTCCCCTATTGACTTCACGCTCCAGATGACGTAGCTGCTGTTGCTTGTATCCTCCAGAGTTATCTAAACCATACTGCCGCTATTGAACATGAAAACAAGTAACTTATTTTTATGCCCCCATACTTCAACCAGATGGAAACTTTCAACTTTTATTTATTAACTTTTGAAAATGTACATTGAAAATAGTCTGGCTTATGGACTTTTTCATACAAGCAAAGATTTTAAGAGCTTCTGTAGCTCTTAAAATTAGTTGCTTTCCTTGTAATATAGAAACGAAAGACCCATCTTTCTGCTAAAGGTACTGTGAAAGGCAAAATTCTAAAGATAATGCTGGTTATGGGAACTTACGGGAACTTGCTATTTTATCCCAACACTAATCTGCGAAGGCCTACTTAGTCTACACATCACTCAATCATGCTACAGAGAAAATGAGCTGTTTTTGCAAAATGGACTGAGAGCCTCAAATGTATAGACTGCCTGAGATGTAAACAGCTTACAAGTTACACCTTTGTTATGATTAATCTTGATTACCAGGGTTGAAGTGACTTAAAATGACCACAGACACACTTTAGGGTATGTCTGTGAGGTAGTCTAGATCAAGCTAACAGAGACAGGAATCCATCATAAATATGGCCCCATCCCATAGTGTTATTCACAGACTGAATAAAGGCGATGGTCGTTCACCTGTCCCTGCTTCCTGGCAGTCGTACCTTCCTCACACTGTAGTTCCTTAAGGTGCTTTTTGTCACTGATTTGATCAAAACAGCAAGTAAGGTGTAGGAAAGCTTACCAAGGAGTGGGCTTCTACTGTAGCAAACTTGACCACAGAGTTCTTAGGAATTTGGAACCTGTTTATGAGAAGTCTGTGGAAGAGTTAGGAACTTCAGGCTCAAAAAGCCCCAGAATACTGTAAGCAGGGGCCATTCTGATAGAGTGGGAAGACCAGAATGCCAGGAACAATGTAAAGAATGGAGGCCTGGCTCAGGAGGTTTCAGAGGCAAACTGGGCTAGAGCTATTCAGGATACATTCTGGCAAAGAATTTGGCTTCATTCTGCTTGTGTCCTAAGAACTTCACTGAGGCATAAGAAGCAATAGACTGGTAAGAAAAACTCGAGACAAGATAGCATTCCGACTGCATCACGATTACAGCTTACATCCCTTATGTAGATGTACAATAGAACACAAGGTAGACCAGAAAGCTGAAAACATGAAGTGGTAAGGAAAAGTGTTAAAGCAGGTATGAAAGCAGCTGCCGGGTGAGATAGCTCTATGGGTGAAGACATTTGCTTCTGAAACCTGATTACCTCAAACCCTGAGACCCACATGCTGGGAGAAGTTTCCTCTAACTTCCACAGGCTTGCCATGGCATGTGTATACTCACACCCACAAATAATTTTATTTTTTAAGGCAGCAGTTATTGTGTGGTCCCTACAGGCTCTCTGTGGGAAGACTTGGTCTCCAGTTAGCGGAACCATTTGGGAAAGATGAGGCATTGAGTCTTGTTGGAGTAGGCATGGCTTTGCTGAAGGCAGTGTGTCGCCTGGGGAACACCTTGAGGCTTTTCCTTTACCTGCAAGGTGAATTCCCAGCTCCCATCTTAATACGATGTCTTCCTCCCTGTTGCCATGCTCCCCACCGTGATAACGGACTAAACCTCTGAAACTGGAAACAAGGCCCCAGATTAGATGCTTTCTTTTATAAGAGTTGCCTTGGTGTGGTGTCTCTTCCCGGCAACAGAATAGTGACTAAGACAACTCCTAAAGAGATAAGCACAAAAGAGAGAAATGTACCCTGCAATATCAGGAAAGGAGCATTAATTTTACCCACTAAAGACTTTCATCTAATGAAAGGGGCAATTCATCTGAAAGGAGAAGCTGAGAATGCCACTGACCAGTTCCATAAGCGAAAACTATTGTGTAGGAAAGTGTCTTCCCCATGGTCAGATGCGACTATGCTCCAAAGGGTCATCGCAAGAAAGTAACAGAATTGGAGTGCTGTCAAAGAGACACTAACTTTGCAGGTATGAACGATGAAAGACTCATTGGCTCTTAGACCATGGTTCTAGGGAGCCATTGAGGCCATGAATGTGTGGCAGGGTCCTTGCACAGCAGAGTCCCAGCAAGGAGGCCCCAAGAGGTCAGTGAGTAAAGCTGTGACGGTAAAGCATGAGTTGTGATAAGATCCTTGGATGCTGGAGATGACAGAAGCATGGACAGCCACTGAGGAAAGCTGTAGGCCCAGAGTGAAATGGCCCAAAGGAAATGCTACCCCAGCCCTCCAAGTGCCAGATGCCTAACACAGAGCTGCAGGATTTGGTGCATGGTCTGTTGGGTTGCATTTTGCTTCGGTCTGATATTTCTTTTGCTGTGTCCTTCCTGCTAGGATTCAGAACATCCACCCTGTATCATCATATGGTAGGAGCATGACACTTGTTTTGTAATATTATGGAGCCTTACAGTTAAAAGACTGCATGAGCCTCACAAAACCCTCTGCACTTATGCCTTTGAACAGTACTGCATTAGACACTATGAGATCTTTGGAAGTCAAAGAGAATGCACTGTGAAACAGCATGGATTTTTTTTTTTTTTTTTTTTTTTTTTTTTTTTTAATGTTACAGGAATTTACAGTTAAGACAATGCCTGGTTGTCATAAGAGACTTCATACTTTCGAACAGTGCTGCCATTAAAGACTATGGGGACTTTTGAGGTTGGACTGAATGTGAGAGAGCTTATGGACTTATGGAAGACCCATTTTGAATGTGTATTGCACCATCCCAGGGGCTGGGGTTCCAGACGGAAAGAAAAGGACAAAGTAAACTGAGACCTGTAACCACGGTGTTGCTTCCTTAAGGGTGGATGCAGTGTAACCAGCTACCTCCCATTCCCCTGCATCTTCCCCGCTGTAACAGGTTACATCTGCCCAGGCTGGCAAACCAACACTCCCTCCTTTATGTTGCTCCTTGTCAAGGGTCTGGTCACAGAAAGTAACTAACACAGTGGCAAACCTCTTTAAATGTCAGAGACTTTGTTACTGTTGATATTCAAAGGGCACTGGGCCTTTTTATGGTGTCGCATTTCAAACACCAAACAACAGGCCATGGTTTGAATATCTGTGTCCCAGAACAAGGTGCTGTCTGGGGAGGTGGCGGACATGTGGGAAGTCATGCTTCCCTGGCAAGAAGAGGCTGGCAAGGAGCAGGCAGGATTCCTGTCATACCATCAGCTTCCTGGCCCACTGTCACGTGAATGGCCTTTCCATGTGTTTCCCACCATGATGGACTGGAACTGTGAGTTCAAATAAGCCATCCCTCCCTTAAACTGTGTCTGTAGATAACTACGACTGCAGTGCTTGTAGAACTGGTATATATATCACAAAGAACACTTAGGAAAAACAATTTTTCTCACTTGTCTGAATTCTGATACGAAAAACGTTTCACAAATAAATGAATAACTAGTGAATTGTGAGGTGGTAAGAATACCAAATTAGACCTTCCAAAACACATTCCAAGGGAAATAGTCATGTGTAAGACGTCTGAGAAAAAAAAGGTGGTTTTCAGACGTATGTAAATCTGGGGACATTTTCAGATCTATTCACTCATAAACTCTTTTTATTTACACTGTTCTATTAACACATACATTTAAAAACTCTACAGCATTGTCAGTACAAATAACCATACATAGTTCACAAATTAGAAATAAAAAAGGAGAAACATGTACTAAAATTTTTAATGCATTAAAAACCCTCAGGTTTTAAATCCAAGTTTAATCCAATAGATACTACATCCACATAAGGAAAATGTGCTCTTAAATATCATGAAACACTAACTTCTGAATGTTCATAAAATAAAAATGTTTGAAATTTTGAGCTGCCATGTGAGTGTTGGGAACCAAACCTGGGTTTTGTTGGGTACCAAACCTAGAGTAGTGGTAGCCAGTGCTCTTCATCTCTGGGCCAACTCTCCAGTCAGTGGTGGCTCATGCCTTTAATCCCAGAACTTGGGAGGCAGAGGTAGGTGGATCTCTATTAGTTCAAGGCCAGCCAGGTATAAAAAGTGAGTTCCAGGACAGTCAGAGCTAAACAGTGAAATTCTGTCTCAAACAACAACAAAAACCCAAAACAATAAAAAACAAAAATAAAAGAAAAACTAAGGAGAGATATACAATAATTTTAAATTAGACAGGCAGTTCTCAGTATAGTTTTACAATCTGCATGTCATTTGCATAGTTTTACATGCATACTTTTCTACCTAACAGTTTTCTAACCCAGGGCAAATCACTAAACAATATATTTTCATTCTTCATTTAAACACAGGAAAGAAAGAAAAATAAAAACAACAAAACTCTGTGTGTGTTTTCTGTGAAAATTTTCACATATTTTATCTGAAATATCTGAAATGATTATTCCAATATTGAAACAGATTCTGAAATGATTATTCCAGTATTGAAACAGATTGCTACATTGTTTTTTTTTTTTTTTTTGTTTTGTTTTGTTTTGTTTTGTTTTGTTTTGAGATGGGTCCCAGGTTGGCCTCAAACTCAAAAGATCCATTCACCTTCCTCTGTCTCCTTAATGCTGGGAGTAAAGGTGTGTGTCACATGAATAGTCAAGAATGGCTCTGTCTGTGTGTGTGTGTGTGTGTGTGTGTGTGTGTGTGTGTGTGTGTGTGTGTGTGTGTGTAGAGAGAGAGACTGTGAAGGTAGGAATATGGAAAGAGATCACCTGGAGCTGAAATTACAAGCATTTCTAAACTGCTGGGAAATGAACTCAAGTTCTCTGCCAATGCAGCAAGGACTCCTAACTCCTCAATCAGCTCTTCAGCTTTGGAGAATAGCTACTTTTAAGTGTTTTGGGGTTCCCCCTACAACAAATTATAAAGTACACAGATAAAAATGTTTTTACCTAACGTGGCCAGGCTAGGTAGGAATCTTTTTGGCTGTGAACTTTAACCTTTAATGGCAGAGCAGTATCTCCAGACATGGTTAATATCTCAAAGGCATATCTGGGAAATAAGAAGTCTACTCAATAAAACTGTTACTAATCACTGTACCTGCAACTTCTGGAACTCTTCCCTCTCTTGCCTTGATTCCTCAGATTTCCTCTTCCTGTCTTCTTCTTGCTGAAGCTGCTCAGCTAATTCTCGATCACCAGAACACTGGACTCTGTCCATGCCTATTAGAGAGAAACAAGCAATCATCACTAGGGGATTGGGTCATATAATGCCACAAGTGAAAAGTTCCTGATAGCCAGAAAGACACAGAAACCAGTAGTGAGACTCAGACAAACAAGTTGGAAATACCAGCACCAGTTTGTGAAGGACATAGGTCCCAGTCTGAGGTCAAAGGCTCAAGATTTCTGCTTGGGATGCTCACAGGAGTCCCAGAGTCCAAAGACCACCTACTCTGAGTCTAAAGGCAAAGAGCAGCAGCAGGAAGAGCCAAAGTGAGTCTGTCCTCCTCCACTGTGCTCGTCTATCTAGAATCCTAGCTGAACTGGATGCTACCTGTCCACACTGAATAGAGATTTTCTCTATTCAATTTGCCCACATACACATGAGTTTTCCTCGGAGACACCCACAGAGACACCCTAGAATAGTTAAGGAGTCTTCTAGGTATTACACAATCAGAGACACTATAATCCACAAACCTGATGATTTAATTCCAAAACTGAATATTCTTTCTTCCAAGCCTCCTATTTGATTCTCCCTTACATTCTTGGGTATGTAACTTATAGCTGGTTTTTTTTTTAGCATGCCCTGAGACTATCTGCATTGGTTTGTAGAATATATGCACCAATACAAAGCCTACTCATAAAGTAAGAATTAGCAGACATTCAGCCTTTAAAGGGTTACCCTTCCACAGTATCCCTTTACTACCTCCGCAAAGGAAGATAGCTGTGGGAGCTGGTTTTATGTCAACTTGACACAAGCAAGAGTCATTTGCAAAGACGGACTCTCAATTGAGAAAATGTCTCCATAAAATTGACCTAACATGGTAGCGCACGCCTTTAATCCTAGCACTTGGAGGTCAGAGGCAAGTGGAACTCTGTGAGTTCTAGCCTGATCTTACATGTGGTGAGTTCTAGGACAGCCAGAGCTACACAGTGAGACCCTGTCATGTCTGCTCTTGTAAGTAACTCCTCACCCATACGCCTGTAAGTAGCCACAATAAAACTCATGGACTCACCAAACTGAACGTAGGTCGTAACAGTACTTCGGTCTGTCACAGGTTCCCTATCTGGGGTAAGCAGACATGTGTGTGTCCCCTCCCCCCGAAAAGCTTTGTCACACAATAGTTACAAGATTCACAGATTCACATAAATTCACTTCTTTTTTTTTTTTTTTTTTTTTTTTTTCCGTAAAGTGGCAGTTTCTCAGTTGGAAAAATCTTGCTGGCTAAATGCTAGCTTCATTACCTCAAACCAATGAAAGAACGGCCCCTGACTTGTCAAGAAACGCTTTAAAAATGGTAAACACTTCAAAAAGCACTATGTTAAGTGGGGTAGCCTCTACACGTCAAGCAAAACCCACGATGACGATGACTAACCTTGGTTTGGATGCTGTCTCGACAGTTTATCCTTTATTTCTCTGCAAGGCTTCAAGGAAAGCTGTGCAGCCACACAGATTATTTAAAGAACAGATTCACTTTTAAACAGTATGACTTTTTTCATCATATCCTTAACCTAGAAGAAATGTGTGTTCTAGATGAAGATACTTTTAGACATAAACATACCTTGTTGAAAGCTGCTCTCATCTAAATGCAAGTCCACGTGTTCCTGGAGAATATGGTAATTTGTACAGACGAGCCCACACATGGGACAGTCATAGAGTGGTTGATGACAGTCTGTATTAGAGACATAGAAAAGCTTGTTTAATTTGTAGAACTTTTAAACTGTTCACCCCATGCCAAGGACTGTGTACAACCAAACAACCTCATCATACGAGTAAAATGGTTTTGCAGTTAGCATTAAACATGTCACCAGGTGTAGTGGTGCACACTTTTAATCATGGCACTCAGGAGCAAAGGCAATCAGATTTCTGTAAGTTAAAGCCAGCCTGGCCCACACATCAATTTCCAGGCCAGCCAAGGCTAAACACGGAGACCCTGCCTCAATAGACAAACAAACAAAGACTTTCTAACCTTATTGTAAAAACAAAAACACCTTACAGTTGGATGTAAAAGCTACTTCTCTGGGGGCATGTTGTTTTTCATTAAGTTCAGTAGCTGCCCCTTAAGCAATTGCTGTTCTAATCAGCAACTAACAGTAGCTGTTTGGCCCCAAGCAGGGATTGTTTCCTCCAGCAATGGCCTTATTGCAGCTCCTAAAGGTGACTTTACCTAGATCTCTATCCCTCTCTAGAACTCAGGCAAGGATTGATGTGAAATTCTGCTTGCTTAGAGATGCTGGGTAGCAAGTAAGCAAGCTAACCTTCTCTCCTAGCTCAAGTGTCCCCTCAAACAGTGCCCTTCTGCTCAGCCTCCACTTAAGAACCCTAGCTACACATGGTTCTGCCCTACCACTTCCTGTCAGCTAGTTCCTGAATGAGTCTCCTGACCCCAAGTCAATTTTACTTAATCAATCAAACAAAAGTAGCTGTCTTTTATCATTAACCAAGTAAGTGTTCCACAGCATAAAAGAATGCAACACATCTTAAATTTGTACCCCACAACAGTTGCAAGTGAGATGGGTCAGTGGATATAGGTGCTAGCCACCAAGCCTGACGACCCGAGCTTGGTATCTGGGACACACGTGGTGACCTAACTTCCAAATGTTTTCTGAGGCAGGGTTTTTCTGTCTCGAAACAGCCAGGACTGTCCTGGAACTCACTCTGTAGACCAGGCTGACCCCAGACTCACAGAGATCCACCTGCCTCTGCCTCCCCAGTGCTGGGGTTAAAGGCGCGCACCACCACTGCCTGGCTAATTATGTTATTTTAAATTTAATATTTGTATTACTTTTAGAATATTGTTCAAACACTATGGGTGCTCGTGTCAGCCTTGGATGAGGACACTGGATGGCGATAGCTAATCTCTAAGAATTGGATTTTTGGTATAAAGGGTGTGAGTAAGGCACAATGGGTCAACATGTGATTTTTAAGAACAATGACTTTTCTGGTTCTAGAGACAAAATGAGAGAATGACGATAGTACAGATCTCTCTCACTACTCTCTAATAAGAAACGCCAAATATTCACATCTGTGGTTGAAACAAGCACAGTAGAAAGGAAAACCAAAACTAAGTGTATACGAATATAGAGGGTGTGGGTGGACAACAGTGTAAGCCAAGGGTTACTACTGAGAATATATTTTCAAAGCAACTGAATATGTCAGAAATTGAAACTTAAAAGCACATTTTTAACAGCTGACAAGCCAACTTGATACCACGGATTAAGCTGAGACTTGTTTTTGAGAACTGTCTTTATTACAGTTTAAATGAGTAACGCTTACCTTCTAAAGGAGTTTCTAAGAGATTGGCATGCTTAGTTTTCACATGCATCTCCATATCTTGACTACGCCCTTCTGTTTTTCCACAAAATGGACATTCAGGAGAACTGTACGTTGTCTCATAAATTGATTCTTGTACCGCAGACAATCCAAACTGCTTTTCTGGGCTTTTCGAGTACTTTCTCGATTCAGTTATGCTCCCTGCACAAAGAGCTTCATGCTTTAAAGTTCCATCTTTAGGAAGATGTTGGGCTGGATGTTTTGGAAAATTCAATGCACAAGCTGAATGGATACTTGAATTAACCTCCGTTGTACTCTGCCGAGTGGTATTCTTGCTGTCTGGATTTTCATACTGTATCGCATTTAGCCTCTCCAAGTTTCTTTCTGGTGTATTTTGCTCAAAATGAGCAGTTTCAATATGAAAACACATCTCATCATAATTTATACCTGACAACTTGCAAAATGGACATACAACTTCGCTTTCCATGTGAACAACTAGGTGAGCCTTCATGTCTGGTTCTGAGGTTACCATTTCACCACATATGTCACAGGAAAGCATGGTGAAGGCATGGACCTAGAAACCACACAAAACTATAAGCCTGAAAATAAGAGTTGAAGAAAAACACATTTCATGAAATGATTTGGAGCAAAGGATATTCGGTGTACTTATCACTCCTGAAATACACACTATTTCTAAGTCTCAACCAAAGCCTCAATGCAGGTTAAGCATCTCTGATCCAAAAATCCAAACTCCAAATGCTCCAAAATTCCAAACTTCTGAGCCCTGACATGATGTCACAAGTCCATCTATGCCTGATCTCATGTGATGGATGACAGTCAAAACACAGGTACACTGAAAATATAGATATACCTATCTATAAACATGAAAATGCAAGATATACATGAGGCATGCATAAATTGTGTTTAGCCTTGTATTTCTAAATATTTATTCATCCTGTGCCTGAATTTCAAGATATCAAAGGTAACAATAAAACAAAAAGTAAATTAACTAATAATACATTTCAATAAGGCATGACGATGAATACCTAAGGCAGAGGCAGGTGGCTCTCCATGAACTGGAGGCCAGCCTGGTCTACATAGTTGCCAACCAGTCAGGGCTGCACTGTGAGACTCCATCACAGAAAACAAAAATTCAAAGTGTTTGGTCCAAGAGGTAAATTAAAAAAGTATATTCAGTTAGTTGTCCAAGCAAGATAAGGTTAAAAGGAAACAATTGGTCGACGTGTTTACTTGCATGTAGCATAAGGGGGCACTTCAGAGCTTCACATATGTCTATGGCTACCGGTTTACATGTATCGTTTCACATGCATGGGAACCCTGGACCAGGCAGGTCACTACAGGTAGAAAATGACACACATTGCAGAGCCCACAGGCAAAAGCTGAGAGGCTGTAAGAAAACAGCACTTAATTCCAGCATCTATCTAGGAAACTAGGTTACAGACACCGGCTGAGTTGTGTTAGCTGACAGCTCGACCCTCTGAAGTTCAGTATCCAAGGGCTTCAGAGACTTTAGATTTGACGGGCTGATGGAACGCTGACTACTTACAGGAAGGTGTTTAAAAACACAAACCTTTTCAAGCAATCACACCACCACTTCCCTAACTAGACGATCACCTAGTTGTCACGAATTTATTAAAGACGACGGCAACTATCCCCTTCATCTAAATTAATCTTTACCAAAATCTCTACACTTCCTCCCCCCTCGTTTCTTTCCATAGAAGGAAAATAAGTTTCTGTTTCTAGGAGAAAGTTAGTTCTCTGACACCCAGTTTCGTTTCTCCCAGGGGCTGGGGCACAGCAGAGAAAGGATACTCTGGGCTTGAGCTAGGCCAGGGCTGACGAAGGGCTAGCCTGGGTACGCGGTGGCGGAGGCGCTAAGGCCCGAATTCGACAAAGTTCTGCGCCAACGTCCTCCCCGGGCTCAGGGAACCGGACCTGCTGCCCAGGCGGCCTGGAGACCGGGACCCGCGGCTGCACCGCCGCCTCCCCTGCACGGGAGCCACCCGCGCCCGCCGCAGCGCCCCGCACAGCGCGCACAGGCGCCGCGGGCCAGGTCTCCCGGGGCTCTGCCCCGCCGCGAACCAAGAGGGAGCCCGGGCCTCCGGGAGCTCCGCAGTACCGCATGCACAACTGCGCTTCCTCAATGCGGGGAAGGCGATCCCAGCATGCCCCTCTCCGGAGCCGTCCGAGCTGTGGTGCATTCTGGGACCTGGGATGAGTGCTTGCATCCTTTGCTAGAGCATCCCTGGTCCCTCCCACCCTCCCGCCGCGCCAGATCTGCTAAAAGAAAAACTAGGTCCTGGGAGTTTTGAAATCCACCTGAGTATATGCGTACCGCGGATCCTATGGCAAACACGTGTTCCTATTTACTCGTTGTCTAGTGTCAGGCTCTAAATTATGCTGTACAGGCTAATCAAGGCAGGTTCCTTTGTCAAGGTTACAAAATTGCCTGCTCCTTGTAGTTACTTCCCGCCCCCCCGCCCCCAGTTCCCACTAGAAGTGTTGCTTGTACCTGGAGGCGTCCCGAGAACTAAAATACACAAAATATAGGACATTCTGGTGAGGCAGAGACAAAAAGAAATACATGTTGCAAAGAAAATAAAACTGAGTTACAGAGGTACTAATGTCAGGAAGTCTCTTCATAAAGCTACGGATGTAAGAAAGTCTCGTTTTAGAAAGTATTAATGTTACAAAGTCTGCTTACGGAGTTACAAATGCTAGGGGAGTTCTGTTTAACGAGAGGAGCACATCCTGTTGAATAAAGGTAAACTAACAAGAAAGAAGATTAAAAACTAATCCGGGAGTTGGTGGCACATGCCTTTAATCCCAGCACTCAAGGGGCAGAGGCAGGCAGATCTCTGTGAGTTTGAGACCAGCCTGATCTACAGAGCAAGTTCCAGGACAGGCTCCAAAGCTACATAGGGAAACCCTGTCTCGAAAAACAAACAAGAAAAGGAAGGAAGGAAGGAAGGAAGGAAGGAAGGAAGGAAGGAAGGAAGGAAGGAAGGAAGGAAGGAAGGAAGGGAAAAGAATGGAAGAAAGAGAGAGAAGACTAAGATTGAAGCAACAGGAATTCTTTGGGACTAAACCATAATGTGCTAAGAGATTATAATAGTGGTTCTCAACTTGTAGTCCTCCATCCATTGGGGGGGAGGTCAAAGGACCCTTTTACAGGGTGGCCTAAGACTATTGGAAAACACAGTTATTAACATTATGATTCATAACAATAGCAAAATTACAGTTATGAAGTAGCAATAATTCGTGGTTGGGGATCACCACAGTATTAGGAACTGAAGGACTGCAGCTCGAGGAAGGTTGAGAACCACTGTATTACAGGGTAAGTTTACAACTGCAGAGTCTTAGATGCACTATGACCTCTAAGGAAATTACTGGAGTTTTTAAATAGGGAGTGGCATCGTGTGATAAGTATAATATTTTTAAATGCTGGGGATATGGTTAAATGTGGCACATGAAGCAAAATACTTTTTTGCTTCTCTGAATCTACTAAAGGAGGGTTAAAAAGCAGAAGTCATTATAAGAGCAAAACCTTCTGTCCTACAGAAGGGATAACAGAGGTGCAGAAATTGAAGGCAAGGCCAGATGGTCTAATTTGAGGAACATACCAGTAGAGGGAGCTATTGGAGATGGTAATAGAGAGCTGACAGGTACAATACAAAACATGGAACATAAAAATGACCAACTAGAAAACAGGATTTGTTCCATGTCTGATGCCCCAATAAACAAAACAGAAACAATGCAATGCATTGACATGCTAGCAGAACACAACAGGTTCTTGGTCCCAAGGATGCCCCCGATGTCCTCCTGTCCCGGTGCTGCAAACAAGAGAGCTCTCAGAGCTCCCTCCACAGACTTAGTTCCCCCAGGTAACATCCGCCCCTGACTCCACCCCAATGGGCGTGGTCTATGCCACAGGTGTGGACAAAGTGAATATCTTACTACAGGGAGTCCCTGCCCCATACTTCCTGGATGACCAGGAACTGGAGGCTGGCTAGCCTAGAGGCCTAGAATAGAGGGGGCCTGGATCAATACAATGATTCCCTATGATATTCTGCTCTACTCATAGATTGGTGCCTGACCCCGTTGTTATAAGAAAAGCCTCTGCTGGCAGCTGATGCAAGCAGATGCAGAGACCCACAGACCAACATTAGGTGGAGAGAGCCCAAATTGGAGATCTTCATCACATCCCTCCCATAGAAGCCAGGAGAACCCTGCAGAAGGGGTGGGGTGGCAGATTGTATGAACCAGAGGGGTTGAGGATCCCTAGAGAACACAGCCCACACAATGAACTAAGCGGGCTAATGGGCTCACGGAGACTGTATGGGCTCACGGAGACTGTATGGGCTCACGGAGACTGTATGGGCTCACGGAGACTGTGTGGGCTCACGGAGACTGTATGGGCTCACGGAGAGAGACTGTATGCACGTCCTGGCTGTTGCCTTGGTGTTTTGGGGGGACTCCTGACAGGGGTATGGGGGTATCTCTGACTCTTTCACCTGCTCTTAGAACCCTTTCCTCCCACTGTGCTGCCTCGCCTCACCCTTGATGTGAGGGCTTGAGTCCAGTCTTACTGTATTTTTTTATGCCTTATTTGGCTGATATCCTGAGAGGCACTGGTCCTTTCTGAACGGAAATGGAGGAGTGGATCTAGGGGGAGGAGAAATGGAGTGGGGAGACTGAGCAGTGGAGGGAGGGGTAACTTCGGTTGGGATATATTGGAAACAAAACTAGAAGGGAAAAGGGTGTTCAAGAAAAGAAAAGAAAAAGACAGGAAGGGCAACTAGAGGATGGAAGGAAGAAAGGTAGGAAGGAAAGAAGGAAGGAAGGAAGGAAGGAAAGAAGGAAAGAAGGAAAGAAGGAAAGAAGGAAGGAAGGAAGGAAGGAAAAGATGTCTAGACACATGCGATTTGAAGAAAAGCTATTGGCTTATTATTTTTATGTAAGCTTTGACTAAAAGCACATACATTCAGGTCAACAGGATTTCTATTGTTTTAAACAATAGTCTGATGCATGTAAGCAGAACAAATCTGAACCCTGTGAAGCTTTCCCGCATCACCGGCTTCCCAGATGTCTCATCTTTCACTCCAAGACAGGCTTCGTTAGTGAAGAAAATGACGAATAGAGGCAATGAATCCAGCAATGGGTAAGGCTGGTGTCAAGGTGTTGGATTAAAAACGGAATTAGAAAAGGGGAAATATTGAACTATGAATGAAAGTTTTGTGTTTGGGGTTCAAGAAGGACTCTGAGGTAAACTACCCATTGGGATAAGAAATATATTGAGTTATTAATGGCTTAGGCATGGAGCCAGCAACAGAAAAATGCTCTGAGGAAAGGGCCGGTCATTGTGCCAGATGGGATTCAAGGAAAGGGTGGTGGGAAGGATAATTTAGAGGTTTTCTCTTAACCCATGGTTAGCCATTTCTAGTGTAACAAAGGAGTGATGAGTTGTTTTATTAAGGTTTCCATTGCAGAGAGAGAGAGACTACCATGAAAAAAAAAGCAAGTTTGGGAAAAAAATTTATTTCAGCTTACACCACTCATGTCACACTCCATCACTGATGCAGGCCAGAGGCAGGAAAGAAGCAAACACTGTGGAGGAGTTCTGCTTATGGCTCTTCATGGCTTGCTCAACTAGATTGCTTATTTACCTAGGGATTACCTGCCAAGGGGTGGCACCACCTGCAATTGGCTGGGACATCACCCCATCCCTGCTTCAATTATTAATGAAGAAAATGCCTAATACCTCACAGGTTTGACCACAGGCCAGTCTAGTAGGGGCATTTTCCCAATTAAGGTTCTCTTTTCCCCAATGACTCTAGCTTCTGTCAAGTCGACATGAAACCAACCAGGATGTCAGTTAAGAGAATGGCGGGTGGTGCATAAGCATTTCTCCTGCACAGACATTGCTTTGAGTTCATAGAGCAGGGATGTCAGGAATCTAGAGGAACATGTGACTTGAGTTCTGCAATCCAAATTAGTTTTGAGGATTGTCACAGTTCAAGCAGAGTGGAGGAATGTTGTGGAATGTTACTTCAACTAGACAAAGATGCATTACATTGATTACATTGGTTTCTGCTGCGGTTGTTTAGTGACGTAAAGGTGTGTTGCTGTTTCCCCTTGCCTGCCTAAGGCACCTGATTGGTCTGATAAAAATCTGAATGGTTAACAGCTAGGCAATAGAAGGGTAGGCAGGGCTGATGGACAGAAAGGATAAATAGGAGGGGCACACGGGGGCCAGCTGGGCAGCCAGCAGCCCACCCAAACATGGAGTAGGGCAGCTAAGGCTGGGCATTCATAACTAATAATTAGTATCTGTGCCATGATTTGGGAGCCGGTCGGTGACCCAAAAGAAAACTTGCTATAGAGGAACTTTACAAAATGCCATGGTCCTGGAAAACAGTGGATCCCTTAAACCTATCTCAGCCTGAGGTCTGCTGTGTGTCTCCAAGGCAAGAGATTGAAAATTCCTCTCCCGAGAAATGATAAAGGAGGAAATGTGGAGGGGAGAAAGAGGAGGGGGAAAGGACAGGGAGAGAGGGAGGCAGGGAGGGAGGGATAGAATATTGTCTACAAGAGTCAGTCCTTCCCTCATTCCCTTGTATTACCTGGTGGAGAAGGCACCAGCTGATGCGCTAAGATGCCCCACTGATGTGCACTCGCTTACAGTAAGTGTACAGGCATTCCAGGGTCTTACTCATCAACATGAGTTGTTAGATCAGGACTGGTGTAGGCAATGGGAAAACCAAACAGGAGACAGACTTCTACTGAAGCAGGTCTCCTTAACTGAGACAATGAAAGTCAAGAAGTCTCTTCCCAGGAGTGGAGGATGTACACTTAGGCATAGCAGGCTTGGGGTTTTACAGGGCAGGAAGGAGAATCTTTGTAGTAAAAATTTTCATCTGCAAGTAAA